AGCAGAGTAAATGAAAGTCGGAGACAATCCTTGAGTAATTTCCCTAGAGACTCCCAGGAAGGCTCCAAGGAAGATCTGGGCAGCATATCTTTGTGTCTACTGCATTGTTTGATAGGCTGACTCAAGGGTTATGTAATTTTTTAGAATATACAATTACTTGAATTTGCTATTTACTATTAATTAAAGACACAAACTCCTGATGTTACATGTTTGTGGTCTCGTGTCCAGTAGAGCTGCAAATAACTTCTCCATAGTAAAAAATATAAATCTTTAACAGCAAGGGTCATAAATTATTGCTCTGTGGGACCTCAATCAATTTTGTATTTAACCTGACAATTTTATTCTAACATTTTAAAATGCCTTTCCTAATAAAATATATAAACTCTGAATCCTCAATAGCTTTTTGAGTCGGCTTTATCATCTTACAGTTTCCTTCATTAATAAATTAGTAAATACATCATCACTCCAGGAGAGAAAGATGTGGCAGTCTGCTTCAGTAAAGATTTGCATCCTTGGAAACCCTATGGGGCGGTACTATTCTGTCCTATAGGGTTGCTATGAGTCAGAATTGACTTGATGGCAGTGGGTTTGGTTTTGGTTTGGCTCTATTTGTAGGAGTCATATTTTTAAATTTTGAAAATTATACTTCAGCATGAACATGGAAGAAGGAACAAAGAAGAGATTTATGACCCATCTATCTGATAAAGAAAATGAGGGTTTATACACTTTGTAAAATGGAAAACGTGAATTTTAGTGTCATTATCTGTGATGACCAGCGAGCATAAAAATGACTTAGATAATCATCAACTCTAAGTGTGTGTGCGTGTTTCCTAAAAAGTGTGTTTAGATTCTACCTCTTCCTTTACCTACATGAATTATCCTATTTTCTTTCCAAAAGTATTCTTTTTTTCTATGAGTGCTAATTGGGAAGACTTGAAATTTAAGGCCTCAAGCCAGATTTCATTCATTTTGAATCAGAATTTAAAGAGCCTACAAAATTTTACGATATTCATACAATGCAAAGTAAGACTACAATTGGGAATTCAAAATGGTCCGGTCACTATGGAAAATCGTTTGGCAATTTATTATAAACTTAAATATACACTTACTATCCAATCCAGCAATTTCACTCCTAAGAATTTACGAAAGTGAGTATAGATAACTTACGTTCACTCAAAATCCTGTACATTAATGTTTATATCAGCTTTTCAAACTCAACAAGAACTTGAAACAACCTAAATGTCCTTCAATTGCTGAATGGATAAACAACCCGTGTTGTATATATACAATTGGATACTGCTTGGTAATTAATGAGAACTACTAACGGTTAAGTGCCACAGCTACTAACCATAAGGTCGGCAGTTTGAACCACCAGCTGCTCCTTGAAAACTCTATGGGGCAGTTCTACTCTGTCCTATAGGGTCGCTATGAGTCGGAATCGACTTGAGGGCAACAAGTTTGGTTTTTGTTTTGGTTTACTAACATATATGAGAGCATGGATGAATCTAAAACATATTATGCTTTTAGTTTTTATTTTTCATTTATCCTCAGTCTTGAATGATGCATTAGCAATGCATAGAATTCTAGGTGTGCAGTTATATCCGCTCAGCACTTTTGAAGGTATTTTTCTCTTGTCCTATTACTGTCAGTTAAAATTACTGCCATCTAATTGTGTTAGTGGGTAATCTGTCTTTTATCTCTGGACGCATTTAAGAGACTTTCATCATCACTGACATTCTACAGTTTCAGTAGAGTGCAGATTTTATTTTTCCTCCTCAATACTTGGAAACCTGTCCACTCTTTCTTCAAGCATCACTGAGCTCATTGGTGGCAGACAACAGTAACAGCAAGACATGCACACACACATGCAGAGCCTCACTGGATTGTGAAAGTTCAGTGAAGGGAGGGTCTGGTAGTTACAGACTCCACTAAATGCAGTCGTACTGAATTGGAAGTAGTCCAGGATAACAGGATCATGGGGGGCAGGGAGGAGAGCAGGTGTCGTCATCCCATAGATGCCACAGAACACACCTTATGATCTGGGGCAGAGGAGCAGCTATGCAAGAGATCCTTGCTTCCTAGTCTTGATACTGTGTATTCAAGCAGCAATTTAGAACTAGGCCATCAATGCTTCCCTTAGGGTGGAATCAAAACCTAGGGCCTCAGAGCTCATTTAGTGAGAGAAGAGTATAGGGATTTTAGGTCAGGAAACATGCCCAAAAGGATTCATTAATGTCTTTTTTTCCTGGGCCAGTATTTCCCGGGAAGGTAATTTCAGTTGAGAGGATCAGTTCCTCTAAACACTGGGGTAAAACAAAATTAGAAGGAGGAAGTTATAGGATAAGGAAACAGCACAGTTCCCCCAGGACAGGCCTTGGCTCACTGTTGGCTCCAGGGACAGGGAGGTTGGCCACAGTTTGATCTCTTTGGGGCAGCTCTTCCAGTATCTACTTCTCCCTGTTTTTATCTTCACAACCAGACACAGCAGAGTTAATGACAGTCTGAGCACCTGGACTCAAGGGCTCGATCTGACAAATGCTCCAGGGTTAGGTGAGCTCCCTTCCTGGGAGATTGTGTGAGAGAAGCACTTTCTCCTAATTCTTCACGGATGTGAGAACAGGAAAGTCATCTTCTTGTTCCATAGGAAATGAGTCAAGGACTATATTAGCTGTCTGTCTCTCTCCACTGCCATCTCTGAAGAAGACATGCAGAAGAATAGAACGGATAGAATAGGTCCTGACATCTGATCTCATCTGAAACCGTGAGACACTTAATCCAATTGGATATTGCTGAAAAAGCCACATCTTCCCTCCCCATTTCTATTGGAACATTCTCGTTCCTCAAACAACCCACAGGATAGTCTGGGTGGTCTGTCAGCTGGGCTTCTCACCACCTGAGGTAAGGACTTTGTCTTCCTTTCAGGCAAATGTGTAGCCTCTAGTAATGTTGGGTTGAGAAATAGAGTCCAAATCAGATCCCAAGAACATTTACTACTCTTTCTAGCAGATAATCTTAGTGCTTTGGGTTCTATGTTCCATCTCAATCCCTTCTGTATTCTGGGTTTTCCAAACATGGAAAAAACAAAACACAAATTAAGACAGATAGAGTCTGTACTACAGCCCGGGCCTGGATAACTGCTTCCTGGTGGAAGTATCAGTACTTGCCTTTAAATTTTGTGGGCTATTGACCTCTGACAAGGTGTTTTTGCACCTATCTTAGGATATGACCCCAACAGGCCATCTAAGAGCAAAGTATATGCCTGTGATATGATCTGATACCTTTTTACCATTAAAGTCCTGTTACTCCAGAAGAGCCCAATGGAAATCAATTAAATGCCAAAAATATATAATTCACATTGTGGGGAAATGATTTACAGAAAGGTGCTGCACTTTCCAATTCTTTAAGCACATGTTCAGAGCTGTCTTTATCTGAGAATGACTTCTGTCATTCTCGGGCCCCTGTCACTCTTGGCTTCTTCCTGGGATTGAATACCACACACGAAAAGCAGCATTCCAGAAAGGGGGCTCTTCCTCCCTATCCATGTGTCCCTTCAATCCAGTATGGAGCCTCTGGCACTGCAGGAAGGAGAGTGGGGTCTGGGCTAGAGGCAGGAAAGTTGGGGGTAGGATTGCTGAGCCTGATTACAACATGCAATATATGCTCTTTTGTTACCATGCCTTTCATTATTTCTCCTAAACATAAACACCCCGATCTTTCTAGGCAGTACTTTATCTGTTATTATATATCTGAGTCCTCCTAGGCTCACATCTTATCATAACTTGCTAAAAAACAAACACCTATCTTTGCATTGATCCTTGTTAGTTAGTCAACGGTCTTCAGAGAAACAGAACAAAATAAATAAAAAACTTTATGGAGTGGGAGTAAGAAAGTGAGAGAGGTTTATTTTAAAGAATTGGCTCATGTAATTGTGGGGGCTAGGAAGTCCAAATTCTGTAGATCAAGCAACAGTCTTGAGTTGAAATGCTCAGTCCAGGCAACGGCTACAAACTCCAGCAGGGTATCTGTGTTACAGTCTTGAGTCTGAATTCCTTCTCCTCTTGGAAACCTCAATTTTTGTTCTTAAGGCTTTAAATTGACTGGGTGAGGCCCACTCACATTATTGAGGGCAGTCGTCTCCTTTACTTAAGGTCAGCTGACTGTAAATGTTAATCTTATCAACAAAATACATTCACAGCAACATCTAGACTAGTGTTTGACGAAACAACTGGGCACCATAACCTATCAAAGTTGACATATAAAATTAAGCATCAGTATCTTAAAGGGTTAGCTCTAAAAGCAATGCCACCTCAAATACACTATATCCTAGCTTCAGACAGTCCAGACTCCCTTTTCTCTCAGGCTCACGGGAGAATGTAGAAGTGGCCAAAAGAAGTAAGTAAGGTGAGCACACTTTAGCTCTTCTAATGAGACTTGTGCCTTCACCCTTGAGTGCTGCAAACAAACATGGAAATCAGCTATATGGGAAAAAAAGTAGAAGTGCTTTTTGAAATCAAATTTCTGTATCTGTTTTGGAATTTCATTTTTAAAACATATATATTATAGCTAGAAAGCTAACTGGAAATTTAAATAATTACCGGAAATTAGAGTTAAAACATACATACAGGTAGTCCCTGACTTATGACGTATTTGAGTTACAGAAAACTGCACTTATGACCGTTTTTTTTTACATCTTATTGTGAGTAATATGTACTACATACATTGTCGCAGAGCATAATTTGTTGATGTTATCATTCTCATGCCAACCCCTAAAGACAAAGATCAGCTTTATAAAGATGCTGAAATAAAAGGCAATAATAGTGAAAACTAATTTTAAAAAATGAGGTATTCAACTTTACATCAGAATTACTTATGATGGAGTCATCAGAACGGAACCTGTTATAAGTCAGGGTCTACCTGTACAACAAAAATCAAGGGTATTGGTATCGTGAGATTATTTAATCTTTCTGGAAAGATGCATGAATAATATTTTCATGCAGTGATCTCTTAATGTGTAGTTAATACCGTGATGCCTATTATCCATTTAGATGAGTCTTTTGCACAATTAAAAGAGTCAGAAATCAGAAGGTAAAGTCAGATACCAGTGAGAAAGGTATCACCTCTTTGGATTTATGTTGACTATCTCGTAGGGGCCTCTGATGTTAGAAAACTAGGGGAAAATCTAAGCAAAAATTGATGAAGAATTCATCTAGTTCTAGGTAACTAAAGAAACCACACAGAATGGAGCTCTGGAACTCCTCCTTGGGAAGTAGCTTCATCTTGATGGGCATTCTGAATGACAGTGGGTCTCCTGAACTGCTCTGTGCCACAATTGCAGTCCTATACGTGTTGGTCTTGACTAGCAATGGCCTTTTGCTCCTGGTCATCACAATGGATGTCAGGCTTCACGTGCCCATGTATCTCCTGCTCAGGCAGCTCTCGCTCATGGACCTCCTCTTCACATCTGTTGTCATTCCCAAGGCCCTTGTGGATTTTCTGCACCAAGAAAACACCATCTCCTTTGGAGGCTGTGCCCTTCAGATGTTCCTGGTACTGACATTGGGTGGTGCAGAGGACCTCCTACTGGCCTTCATGGCCTACGACAAGTATGTGGCCATTTGCCATCCTCTGAACTACCTGGTCCTCATGAGGCCGAGGGTCTGCTGGCTCATGGTGGTCACTTCTTGGATCTTGGCATCCCTGAGTGCTCTAGTATATACAGTGTACACCATGCACTATCCCTTCTGCAAAGCCTGGAAGATTAGGCACCTGCTCTGTGAGATCCCACCCTTGCTGAAGTTGGCCTGTGCTGATACTTCCAAATATGAACTCATGGTGTATGTGATGGGTGTGACCTTCCTGATGCCCCCTCTTGCTACTATCCTTACCTCCTACTCACTAATCTTATTTACTGTGCTCCACATGCCCTCAAATGAGGGTAGGAAGAAAGCCCTTGTCACATGCTCTTCCTACCTGACTGTGGTTGGAATGTTCTATGGAGCTGCCACCTTTATGTATGTCTTGCCCAGTTCCTTCCACAACCCCAAGGAGGACAACATCATCTCTGTTTTCTACATGATCATCACCCCAGCCCTGAACCCTCTCATCTACAGCTTGAGGAATAAGAAGATCATGGGACCCTGAGAAGGGTCCTGGGAAAATACATGTAGGTGACACACTCTATACTCTAGGGAGGGTTCATGGCTTGCCTCTTACCTTTCCTTCTCCAAGATTAGAGAATTTGTGCTATGAATAATGCACTCATGGTAAAACCACTATAGTGCAGAGTATGTATTTTGATGTAGAAGAGTGAAGAAATTATAAATGTAACTGCACCTGGCAAATGATCTTTTAAATCTTCTCTCCATGAAGCAATTTATAAATCATGATTCACACTCTATTTAAAATTTACCTTCTTTTTTGCCAGGTGGATACTGAGTTAAATGGGATTGGGGTTATCACCAATTTGGGACAGGAGCCCTGACTTTGGGAGTCCAAACTGGATAAGCATAAGAACCAGAGAAAAGAAAGTTTCAAGTGGGTGGCCGAGGCAAGGCCCAAAAATCAAGGAGGGGGGCTTGAGATTTGCACAAGTTTTATCTCAATGTACCTTGTTAAAAAAATCATATAGACATCCTGGTCTAATGCCCCAGCTAGTAGTAGTGTTCATGTATTTGTATCAAGTGTTCATTCTTCTTCCTTTTTCCAAACATCTGCCATTCTGGAAACTGCCTCACCAGGACACTCCAATAGGTGGCTTTGTTTGTTTGAATTTTTTGTTGTTGTTGTTGTCGTTCATGTTTGCTTGTTTGTTTTTGACATAGGGATATATAGGGTTGCTATGAGTTGGAATCGACTTGACGGCAACCGTTTTTTTTGTTTTTTTTTTTTGGTAAATTTCAAATATTATTGAAATGAATACCAAGTGAAGGTGTCCCATAAGCAAGATCCATGATAAATAACTGTGCTTATTCTTTCTTAATAATAATTTAAAAAATCTAAGAACCAAAACAAAAAAACGGCTTTCTTTTATTTCGTGTTGTCTTGATACAACCCAGCAATTCCAAAGAATTCATATGCTTGGTGGGTATGGGTGTGTGAGTCTGGGTGGGGGGTGGAAAGAAAGAGGGGGCACACGTAATTTATCTTCTAGGTAGCTTAAATATACTGCATTATTATCAGTTTGTAAGTCAGGGAATACTTAAAACAAAAGCTGCAAATTGAGTTGGGGTGCTTCAAAAATAACATGGTTCATCTGAGTGTCACAATTTTAGGGGATATTATTTGTGAAAATTGGCTAACACTTTCTTTTTCTTTTTTTTTAAATAAAATAGTATAGTTTCATCTATGACACTAAAAGAAATTATTTTTAAAAATTAATAAAATCCTAAACAATAGACATAGGCAAAAACCACCTAAAACTGTCTTATCCCAGGATAACTTCTACAAATATTTTGATGAATTTTCTTCTATTTTTAATGCAGGCATACATTTTACTGAGATGATATGTGCATGTGAAATAAAATTTTTTCACCTATTAATATTTAATGATTTTTTCCTCTTCTATTACATGGCAGCAGTATAGAGTAGTGGTGAAGAGCCTGGGGTCAGTTGTTAGAGTGCCAAGGTTTGAATTTAATCCACCCCCACTTACTTGTACAACTTTGGACATGTAACTTAACCTCTCTGTACCTAAGCCTGCACATCTGTAAACTGCGAATTTACAGTAATAATAATAATAAGATCTACTCGATAGTGTTGTTGTAAGGATAATAAGTTAGTTAATATAGATATAAAGCATTTAGAGCAGTGCCTGGAATTTAATGAGTACTTAATAAATTCTAACTCTTACATGAATAAATAGCCCTGAAAAATATTCTTTTAAGTAGGGACATAATATTAGATCAGATGGATGCTTTGTAATATAATTAGCTATTTCATCAGTGCCATACATTTAAATGTTGGGTTGTGTATGTGTGTATAAAATCATCAATATCAATCATTTTAAGCATGACTGATTTTTCCCTTAGAATAAATTCCTATGAGTGTAATTACTAAACCAAGGTCAAAAATCTATTCAATATTCTTGATATAAGGAGATATTCTTTTCCATCTAAATCAATAGCATCACCATCCACACAACTGACCAAACTAAAAACTTAAATACAAACATCGTTTTCTGTCTTTGACTTACTGCCTCAAGAAAAGACTCCATCTATAAAACACATTCTAAATATGTGCACTCCTCCTGGGCTCCCCTAAAATTATCTTATTCCAAGATACCATAATCTGTTGCTTGTTCTTCTGAAGAGTTTCCTCTCTCTTTCCACTTCTGCCCCACTATAATCTCTTTCCTTCCTCTATACAGATTGACCTTTATAAATATAAACCATGTCATGTCAGTTTTCAACAATGCTGCACGGGATCTGGCCCCTGCCTACATTTTCTTCCACATCTGAAACTGTGCTCCCTTACGCTCACTCTAGTCTAATCCCATTGACCTCATTTTTGTCCATCAAACAGTTGAAAATTGTTTCTACTTTAGGGCTAATTAGTAGTTTCTTTCTCGCCTGTGATGCTCTTCTTTTTATTCTGCTTGGCTTACTACTTTTCATCACTTAGGACTCACCTTAAATGTTAACTTCTCCAAGAGGTTACCAATCTAAGTAACATGCACCCAAACCAGAAGGCATTATGAAGTTTTGTTTTATTGTCTTCATTGCAGTTATCATTATGTGAAACTTTCTTATTTATGCCTTAGCTTACTTGTTTACTCTCCGTCTCCACTCTCCAGAATGAACGCTCTGTGAGAACATGGACTGTCTGCCTTGTTCATTGCTGTATGTCCAGGAGCTGGAACAATGCCTGGCATATAGTAGGTATTCAGAGTTTTTCAATTAGTGAATTAAGAAAGAATGACATGTCTCAATTTTATATTTCTATATAATGTTTAATCGTTTGGTTACTGTCGATCTGGATTGTTCAATAGAACTTTCTGTGATGACAGAAATGTAACTAGTGAGAACTTTAAATATGTCTAGTGTAACTGAGGAACTAAAAATTTAATTCAAATTAAATTAATTTAAATTTAAATAGCCATATGTGGCTAATGACTACCATATTGTACAATACAGAATATTTTCATTATGTACAGATATTTTGTTAATATAAATGAAATAATTTTTCTCAATATGTTTAATTGGACTTTTTGGATTAGTTGACATGTATAAATATTTTATATATATAATAGGCAAAAAAATAAATTCTGTAGGCAATCAGAAAAACTTTGGAAATCACCCCCCCATATATGCATCTCTCATACCCAATTCTCAATTATGAATTTAGCATTCTCTTAAGGCAGACTAGTTTCATTTCTACATTCTTGGTAGACAGTTATAGCTGTAGTTTCTTCTGTCTCATGTGATTCATCTACTTGCTTCCATTTCTTTTTGTTTTCTATGAGTTTCTTGTTGATAACCTCTTATATACGACCCACTTAATGGGAACTCAGATACGATAGTCTGGGTAATCTGATATCTTCAAATGCAAGATTAAAAAAAAAAGAAAGAAAGAAAGACAAATCAAGATGCAGATCTATGGTCCAGAAAGTTTGAAATGGTTTCAAATATATAAAAATTACTTAGCCCTTTTTGGAAAAATTTGCATCAGAATAAAGGTAGGGTCGTGGGAAATCTTGATATTAATATCTGCCAATGCTCTACATACTGGGAGAAAGAACTACAACACACACACACAGACACACACACACACATCATCCCACATCATATACCTGCATATATAAAATAAAGTACACTCTAACCACCCCATTGTCAGTTTTGTTTCTTGCCTTATCTTGATTTTATTTTTTCTTCTGCTGCTTTCCTCATATGCCTAATGATATTTGGGAGTCTACATTTTTTACAAAATTGTGATATAGATGGTATGAATTTCTTCCGCCATTGTGTAAGTAGATCTATTTTCTCCAAATAGGCCACTTCCTTGAGAATTTTGAATTGTGGGGTGTGTCAGAAGGGTTAAGAAATTGATGTGTTTTAAAGCTGCTGTCTTGAACCAGAGTCTTTTAAATTTTAAATTACTCAAGCTTTAATGCTAAAATTTAAATTATTTTATAGATTAGAATATTTCCATAGTTCATTTTTAAAAGATTACATAATGGTATTTTTTATGAGATGGTGATTTTATAAGAATTTTTTATCATTGCTTTCACACATGAATGCACTTGGTTGTATATAGAAATATGTGGACTCTTTACTTTCACAATGTTCACACTGCCCTAACGTCTGAAGTAAGCCTGATAATGTGTTTTTGTGTTTGTGACTTTTCCGTGACTGTAGTAATAGAAAAAAGCAAAAAAGCTTTTTCATGGAAAGCTACCTATACTGTCTTATGTTCCTCACTACCTAATATACAGAGTGGCCATTTCCTGTTCAAGATGACTAAGCATGTACTATTACATGCTCTCATTTTCCAAAACCCAGCTGTATGAGAGAAGTAACTTAAACCCGTACCTGCTGCCCTCGAGTTGATTCCGACTCATAGTGATCCTGTAGTAGTGGTGAAAAGCCAAAATGGTGCCATCTATGTACCTGAATTTTAAGGGCCTGTTGGAAAATATAACACAACTGAAAACTGATTAAAGATAAAACCCAATAAAACTGAGGCGCCAACATTAAAGTTTAAGAGATTACAGAAGGAAAAAAACGTGGAAAGTGCATTGTTTAGAACTTCCTTACTCTTTCATAAAAAAGAAATACAAAACTCTACGTATTAAAAATAGAAGGAAACATTCCTACCTTATCTATCGTAAGCCAAAAACAAATGTATTAAATAGGGAAAGACTACAGATATTTAACTCAAAATTAGAAATAAAAGAATTATTCAATATCATCCTCGAGATCTAAGGCAATTCCAAAGATCATTTAAATGGATATGACCATTTGAAGAGAAAATTTAGAATTTCGTTTTTTAACAAAAGGATATAATTTTTAGGTAGAAAATAAATATCATTGCCCATTAGGATCAATATGAGAGTTCAGTAAAATGGATGCGTATGAGATAACCGTGCTAGATTTTTGAGCTAGCTGGAGGCTTGCTGGAGGTTTCTCTTTTGTTTATCTTCTTAT